TGGCCTGACTAAGGTCTGCACACAATTCACCTGTTACAAGTTCCACAATCCGTAGATTAGGTGACTGTGAAGCTCCTTATTATCAGACCTTGAAGCCCAGAAGAAAAACCACAAAGGTAAGGGCAGGTATCTCCTGACCTGAATATTAATGGGAAGAAGGAGACATCCAGTGGGGCTCTGTGAGTGTCAATACCTACCCCACTCAGGAGACAGAGGTGACCCAGAGGCTCACAAAACTGGAGGTGAGCTCACCGGGGCTCCCAGTGTTTTTATAGTTGGAGTGGCTGCTGTGGATATCATGAGGTTGACTGGATGGGAGGCAGTGCCTCATGCTGCACCAGACAGGTGAGCACCTGCTTAGACCTCTCAATGACACATTCACCCACTGCTAACTTTCTAGGAAAGTTAGGTTCCATGGCTCTTCTGCATGGACATGGGTTACTCAGTTTCCTTGAATTCAAGGCTGTTCTCCAGACAGCTGCATGCACATTCTGTGGGGAGAATCTCTGCACATGGCAAGTATGAGACATTAAAGTCCAAGGAGATTGAAGATGGGACACTGCAACTTTAGGGGGCACTGACACCACCCAGGGAAAGCAGACAATGATGCAGGAAATCCACTGTGGACACTGGGAGCTCCTTGAGGATGGGTCTTCTGCCCAGGGCCTGGTACAGAGGAGGATGTAGGCACTGGTTTACAGATGCATGTGTAAACAAATGTATGATGAGTGAGAGTGTGAACGTGTGCTTGGATGGATGGGTGGGTGGATGGATGGGATTCTGAATGAGATGAATGCCATCCCAATATCATAATATATCTTTTCTACTTTGATCATTCCATCACTTACCACAACATGGATGAAACTTGAGGACATTATACTAAGAGGAATAAAGGAAACACAGCAGACAACTACCGTTGTCCATTCTGCTTCTACCGGGTCTGAAGAAGACTCATACTGATGGAGACTGAAAGCAGAATCGTGGTCACCAGGGACAGGAGGGAAGGGGAAACAGAGGTAGTTTAATGGTTACTGAGTTTCACTTTCTCAAGATGAACACATTCCTACTACCTATTTCTCAATAGTGTCAGTATAATGAACAGTACTGAACTGCACACTTAGAAGTGCTCAAAAGGTAGAGAGAGAGAGAGAGAGAGAGAGAGACAGAGACAGAGACAGAGACAGAGAGAGAGAAGGAAAGAAAGAAAGAAAGAAAGAGAAAGAGAGAAAGAAAAAAGAAAAGAAAAGAAAAGAAAAGAAAAAAGAAAAAAAGAAAAGAAAAGAAAAAAGAAAAGAAAAGAAAAAGACTGGAATGGGACAGACAAAAGAAATTCACAGGAGACACAGAACTTACTCTGATGTGACATCTGATCTCTGATGACTATGTGTGTGACAGGGTTTACACCAACCCTTTCTCACTGGAATATAGAAGTTGATGGTAAAGTCATGGGGGAAGAAATCCAGAGCCTTTTCCATCTCTGCTGCTGAGGCTGCTGATATCTCTCTAATGCACCCAGACTGTGTGTGGTCCCATTGGACTAGGTCAGTCTGAGTCAGTAGTGTAGACTTTCAGTTTTATTTTGGTAACTTAAACTTTTACTACATCAGGCTAAACACAATTGACTATTATCAACTTTCACTATTGTTTCATTACAGAACAAAGCTTTAACACCATAAACATATAAAGAACAATCCTTTTGATAAAATAGATTTCATTCTTTTGTCCCATTTTATTGAGACATTATTGATACACAGCTTTGCACATTAGTTTTAGAGTACAAAGATGATTTGATATACATTGTTATTATTGCAAAATGATTGTCACAATGAGTTTGTTGACATCTGTCACCCCAGGAATTCAATTTTTCCTTAATGAGAAATTTTAATACTGGCTCTTCAGCAACTTTCAAATGTGCATGCAGTGTTGTTTGCTGTGGTTGCCGTGTTGTACATCGTGTCCTCAAATGTAGTTATCTTATCACTGGACGTGTGTGCATTTGACCACTTTCACCTGTTCTCCCACACCCACAGCCTGCCTCCGGAACCCCCAAACTCTCCTTGGTATCCATGAGTTTAGAATTTATTTATAAAAAAGTGTGTATTTATTCCCACATGTTTGAACCTCAGTCACCTGCAGAATGCTCTCCATTTGTTGCAATACACGTATCAAGACATTTTCTCCACTCAGTTTTTAAATTCATTGATTTTGATGCCTTTCAGTGCTCCTGCCGGTTTTTGTTTGACCTCTTCCACGTTTGCAAAACTTTTCCCTTTGAGAACCTTTATCATCCAGGGAAACAAAAAAAGTCACTTGGGGCAGGATCTGATGAACAGGGAGAGTGGGACACTTGTTTGGTCAAAAACTGCTGAACTCTCAGTGCCGAGTGGGCTGGTGTGTTGTCATAGTGAAAGAACCCGTCACCTGCTTGCCACACCCAGGACGTTTCTTCCACAAATCAGGATGCAACCTTCTCAAACTTTCCAGATAAAAACTTTGGTTGACACTTGGACCCGGAGGAACAAATTTTGAGGGCACAATGCCTCTCGTGTGAAAGAAACAGATGGCTATTGTTTTTAAGTTTGACTTCACTTCTCGTGCGTTGCTGGGTCCTGGGAAGTGGCAGTTTCCCCTTGGCTACCTGCAGATTTCTGATTCGTCTGGGGTTACAACAATAGCACCCAGATTCACCACCTGTTATGACTTTGCAAAAGAAATCAGGATATCAGTCTCCAACTGCTCCTTCAAAGCACAGCATGTAGCCAAGTGATTGTCTCTCTGTTCAGGCATGGGCAAGCTGAAGCATGAATTTGCTGAAACTCATTTCATGCCCAAACCTTCAGGTACAATCCACTGACAGGAAGTCCATCACACCCCAGTCAGCTGCACAAGTTCATCAGTCGCCCAGCGTCGGTCTTCCAAGATGGCTGGATGAAATCTTACCACATTTTCTTCAGTTGGCCAGTCTAATGATGCCAGGAAAGAGGTTGATCATCAACTGACATTTTGCCTTGTTTAAAATGAGACAACCATTCATAAGCTTGTGTTTTACTCAGAGAGGTTCTTTTGTAAGCTGTCTGTAGCATGACAGCCATTTCTGTAACAATTTTCTCTAACTGGAAACAAAATTTCTCTAACTGGAAATCACCCATCATGAAATGGTCATATGCTTTGAAAAACACTCCAAAAACAAATTCACTGAAGTCAAATGATGCTTCTCACAATAACAGCAGCTGATACCCTGACCCAGATGGGTTCCTAGTACATTCACCTAGCAGGGGACACCTGTACTGTAAGGGACTTGCTCTGTAGAAGATTACTCTCATTTTGGGGGTTACCCCCTGATATGTGAAAACACACAGTATTTGTCTTTCTTTTGTCTGACTTATTACATTAGCATAATGCCCTTAAGTTCCATTTATGTTGTTGCAAAGGAAGTATTTCTTTCTGTTTTTGAACAAATAGTATTCCATTAGATATAGGCATTCACTCACTGATGGACACTTACTTACTTCACTTGTATGTTGTAAGTAATGCTGCAATAAACATGGGGGTGCAGACATCTCTTCGAGATACAGATGTCATTTTTTGTTTGGAGGTACACCCACAGGTGGAATCACTGGGCCATACAGTAGTTCTATTATTTTTTTAAGCCCCTCAATACTGGCTGAGACAAAGCTCTGATTGGAAGACTTTCACTGTCCAGTCTCTGAGTTTCCTGACTCTTTCCTCTGCTTCATTTAGTCTGCTGTTAACCCCTTCTGTGGGGTTTTCAGTCAGTGATCATATTCTTTACCTCTGTGATTTCTACTGGGTGCTTTCTCATATTTTTTTATCTCTAAATTGGCATCATCACATTGTGCATCATTGCCCACCTGGGCAGGTGAGCATCTTTAGGAGCATTTAAAAACCCTATCAGGTAAATAACTTTTCTCCATTTTATTAAGGTGTATTTCTGGACTTCTATTTAATTCTTTTGTTTGGTATACATTCATTTATTTCTTCATTTTCCTTGACTCTCTGTGTTAGTTTCTGTGCACCAAAGAGGTATTTCTTCCAATTTTGATGAAGTGGTGTCTTGTACAAGATGGATCTTAAAATTCAGCACTGTTTTAGCACTTGGTTGTCTCTCCAGACTTTGTGACTGTCCAAGCTGCCTTGTCTGTTCTTAGTGGCTCCCAGTCACTGAGGTGACACTTCAGTCTCCCGAGGCAAGGGTCTCAGTCTGCACCTAGCTGCAGGCTGATTCGAAGCTGGATGTTTAGGCAGAAGCTTCTAAAGTATTCAGGTAGACCTCTCTCAGGGCAAGACTGGGAGATGGGAGGTCTGACTGCTGTCTATGATTTTTGTTGTTGTTTGTTCTCTACCAGCCTGTGGGACCCACTAACACAAGCCCCATGGCCACCAGAGCCAGGCCACCAGTGGCTGTATCCCCTGAGCAGCAGTCACAAGAGCTAAGGGACCAGTCATGTGCACAGGCTTCTTCAGGGGGACACCAGGACTGGGCATGCAGCTAAGGGAGGATGTGCAGATGATACCACTCAGCTCCCTGGTGTCTGGAGAGGACTGTTGGCTTTAGATGTGGGCTAAACTAGGAGCCTGGTCCTCAGACTTCAGCTTTTAAGAAAAGCAAATGGGCCTCTTTAAGGGAGAGACTACAAGGTGGACATTTCTCTCTGCTGCCTCTGTGCTGAGGCCTGGGGGGATCAATAAGGTCCTCAGAGCCCACTGAGGACTTCTTCCTTGTTCACTGCAGTGTTGTGGGAGTTGTGCATTCAAACCACATTGATTTCATATCTACTTGTTTTGAGGGATCATCCCTCAGGGGAACTTTAAGAATTGGGGTGGTAGATGTTAGGTTTAAAGCCCACTCCTCAAAGAGAAGCTGGGGGTTGTGTGTTTCCTCATAATTGTATGTCCCATGTAGGGGTAGAGTTCATGGTGAGACTGTGTCTCATTCCCTGGGATGGAGATGTCAGTTTTCTCCTTTGTCTAATGTGTGGGGCTCCCTCAAATTGTTTTTGGAATTCTTTCTCAGGGAATGATTCCATTAGTGGCAGTACATTTGGTGAGTTTCTGGGCAAAGTGAGTTCAGTTGCCTCCTAAAACATCATTGAACAATTAGGTTTTTCTTAAAAGAAAAAAACATATTTATTTTAGCCAGAAAAGTCAGCCATTTCCATGTTCCATGTTCAAAGAGAAGCCAATGTCTGAGACAACAGGACTCTGTTAAGAAGATGTGTGTTGTCCCGCTGCCAAACCAAAGACCAGAACCAGGGCTTGGGTCGGGCTCCTTTCCACTCAGAATGAAGACTGAGAGCTAGTTTATGAGATGATAGTATGGAGAAACTATACATATTTATAAATTCTAATTCGTGTATCTTTTTTTAATCCTCCCCGAGGACATTTTTTTACTCTTTTAGGAAGAGAAAGGATGAGAGAAAGTGAGAGAGAGAGAGAAACATCAATTGATTGTCTACTTCTAGGTACCCAACTAGGGGAAGAACTCGCAACCTGGGTATGTGCCCTGACCATGAATCAAACCTGAGACCTTTCGACCTGTAAGACAATGCTTCAATAAACTGAGCCACACCAGCCAGGACTAATTTGAGAGTCTTTTTTGAACATTCTTAAAACTAAGTCATCGAAGGTAAGAAATTGGAAGGTATAAAGGAATTTCTAGCAGGCAGAGTCTGATTAGGTGACATGTAGGTGCCAGGCCAGGTGCAAATTCCTGGGCCTCCCTCGCTTCTGAATCCTGTCTATGAGGACCAGGTCTGGGCACAAAGTTTCCAGCTGGGGGAGAACTTTGGCTCTGACCCCCATTCAGGGTTCGGTAGAGTTCACTTGTTTGCTTTCTGCACTGTCTGTGCTTTTGGGGCCAGTCTGATCTGTCAGTCTGGTGGTACCTCGGGCTCTGGGAAGAGGTCTGCTGTTATCTCCTGAAAGGAAAAACAAACAAACAAACAAAAATTCGGTCTGGTTTCAGTGTTAGAGGCTCATTTCAGTAACATTAGAATTTGTTCCAATTTCCCCTCATGTTAGAGAGCGTGTCCCCGACTTTGAAGCAAATATTGCTCTTGCTGCCTTTGGAGAGATTCTTGGATCCAGATACCAGGATACAAGTAGGAAAATTTTTCCCAGAAAAGTCTGAGAACATCTTCAGGCAGCCAGGGCCCTGGAAAACTTTCAGCGTCTTCACTTCACAGGGCTGGAAACCCGCAGATGGTGTGAGTTCCTCATTGAACAAAGGAAGGAAAGGATCTTATCACACACAACCTTGTTCCAGGCCCTTGTGCTTTCACATGTTTCTCTCCCCTTTAAAATCCTCACAGTTCTTTGAGGCAGCCTGACTCCCATTATTCAGAAAAGAAAATCGGTTCATGGAGTGTCAGTGAGATGCCCACCATCACATAGCTGTTATGGGTTTTCCAGTATCTGAAGCCAGGGCTCTGCCTACCAGACCTCAGAGGGAACCTCTCTGCTTGATTCTCTAAAGAACTGTGAACACACTGCCCCTCAGTGTCTGATGGATCACAGGACGGTGTGGTCTTTAATGGGTCATCCAGTTCCTACACTTAGACACTGTAGGTCCACACATGTTGAAAAAATTTTTATACCTTAATATTCCAAGTAAGAATAATTTCAAATAGTGTGCCATTAATGGAAATGTCACCTTACAGAAGGAAGCTAATACCAGGAATATAGAAAGAAAAGAATTTATTTCTTCATTCATTTAAGAATATTAATTGACTGTGATGTTCCAAAGTCACTTAAAATCTCCAATGATAATCATGAAGGCATACATTAAGGGGAAAACGTGTATTCAGAAAATGTACTAACATTACGGATGAGAAGTGAAATTCTGTGGTGTTCGAATGAAGATCCTCCTTCCTTAGCCCCTTCCGCTCAACAAGATGAAACCACTCCAGATGCCAACAGCCCCAACACAGGCTGCCTCTTGGCCTAGCTCCCAGTTGAAACAGTTGAGGATTCTCAGCTCACATGAAATTACTGTACCTCAGTTTCACACTGTCCTTTAAGAGCAATGAAAAATGTTATTTAAAAGGTATATCCATTATTGAACCACTGCCAATATTAAGGTAGCTACCTTACTCATCCAACTGTACAACTTGGTCACAGCATTGCTTTCTCTTCCTGTGGCTCCTGGTCAATGGTGGTGGGTAAAGGTCTGATTGTGTTAATATCACTGTCCCTTCCATGTTTGCAATGCTCAGCAGCCCATTTTTCCTCCAACCACATTTAAGTCATGAGTGAGAGAGAACGGCGCAGGTGACCATGTGGGGTTCTGTGTGAGATTCTGAGAAGACCACGAGTGAAGGCCCAGGTCTGGAGACATCAAAGACTGTGAGAAGTGGCACTAGGGGCCGGTGGGCAGCAACTCTGCTCCAAGGAGAGGCATTTGAAGAAGTCAGTGACACTTTCAGTCAATCTTTTTTTCCTTAGGCTGAGTGTTTCCTAGAAGGAGGGAGACTGCAAGGATGTAGGGTGGCATGCAGCAGGGGAGGAAGGATTGGGCTGCAGAAACACGTTCTCATTTAATTATCTGCTCATCATTCAAGAAGCATTCCCTGCATGTCTCCTGTGTTCCATGCTGTCCTCTTCCTGACACGCCTGTCATGAGAGAACATACAGCACCTGGCATAAGACTCTGCCACCTCAATCTTTCTTTTCTCACCAAGTACTGATGCCCTTTCCCATCCCTTTCCCTCTGTCACAAGGAAGATCAGAGCTGGGACAGCCCTCAGAGCCACAGATTCAGGAATTCTCAACAATACTCTACAATGTGAATTATTTTAGCTTCCGAAATACCCAGTGGTCAAATAATCTAGAGGTGGTCTTCAAGGGAACCACCCTCTCAGCTGCCTCTCATTCAGCTCCCTATGCCCACTTCCTCCAGAGAAACCCTGAGACATTGTGGACACCCTTTAACACTTTTGATCGAGCCCACCTGCATAACCCTCCCACTACAAGGGAAAGTAAATCCTACACACAATAGGCTCTCAGTATTACTTAATAAGAAAATGTAAAAGTGTCAACATAATTTAGATGAAAACTGATGAATCACCAAATCCTACTGCAAAGTCTTCCATGTGGCTGCCTTCTTATGCTCACTCAACCACAAGGCACAGGGCAGCTAGCAGAGGGGCTGAGAGCTAATGCAGAATACCACCACTGCCAAAATAAGAAGTGGGAATTTGGGTATTGAAAGAGGTGTGTCTCCTTCTCTTTACACCATGTTACTTCTGACCCTGTGTGACCTGTTGGCTGGTCCCTCCTTCTGACCTTGCCCCTTCTGGGACAGACCTTGGTCTGCTCATCCCATCACACAACTTACAGTCAGGGTCTCCACTTCCTGTGGACATAGAGGCCAGAGACACCAACCACCTGCAGCACCTTGAAGCCTATGAAGACCCCTACGAGGGCATCAGTAGATACTCCTGGGCCTGAAAACAGAGAAACGGGAGGAGCCATTAGAGGAGACCATTCCCAGGGGCCTCTACTGGCTCTGTCTCAGGCTGCCTACACCCACCAATGCTCTGAATCTCTTCAATCCTGCTCTGCTCTCAGGCTAAAGGCAGAAACCAAGGTAAAGAGCTTCCTCATCCTCAATCACCTCCTTCCTCCTTTGTCAGGGCTGTTTTCTTTGAGGGAAAAGGCGAAGAAAATACGTGCTCAGTGACCCATGAGTGCAGCCCCTGGTTAACTAACTAGGACCTCACTCCCCTATGAGGCATGTAGTATTTTCCTCAGTCTAATGAGGAAACTGAAGCTCGGAGAGTTTATGGAGGTCACAAATAAGTGAGATTGAAACTTAGGAAATACATCACTGTTGTCCCTTTGATGACCCTAAGCCCTTGTCCTTTGAGTGAAGACAAGTCCAAACTCTCAGAGATGCATGGACAATGTCAACAGGGCACTTGAGAGCAGTGAGGACAGAATTCACAGAGCAAGAGCCACAGTACTTCTCATAAGAGCTGCAGGCTGGAAAACCTCCATGGATTCAATGATTTGAGGACCAAGATTGGGGACAGTTGAAACATCGTTTAGGTAGCTGTGAGCGCAGGGTTGATGTCAGCTGAAAACTCTCTATTGCCCACAGAAAGTCAGATCTGGGAAAGCACACTTTTAGATGTTGGCAGATTTGCAATGACCCACTTTTATTTAAATAAAAAAAGTGAAGATATTAGACAATTCACCATAATTAACATAATCCTTAATGTAAGACTGAGGAATTCACCATATTTCCTGTGGGAAGGTGGAGGATGGCAATTCTTAGCTGAGAGGCTCTCTGGGACTTTCCCTCAGGTAAAGTGAGCTTTATTGTTAAGTTTGCACCTCTCCTAAGAGCAACCTGGGTAGAGGACTAGCTGGACTGGGAGTGTAAAGGTTTGGCCTCTTCCTCTCCATATAAACAAATCTCAGAGACAGTTCTTCTGTCCAGGTCTCTATGGAGCAGCCAAGTCTGGAGCCTGCATTGCAGTTCAGCAGCTCCCTCTCCTGCTCCTTCACTCCCTCAGGCATGTGGACCCTGACAGCTCCCCACAATGAGCTTCTCATATTCTTATGTCCATTTAGAGTCTGCTTCCCAGGGAAGCAGACCTAAAGGAGCATGTCTGGGAGTCCTCTGGAGAACAAACATGAAAATGCAATTTAGAAACTGGATCATTCATCAGCTGACTGGTCAAGAAGACCCAGCTCTGACTGGAGGAGGACCAGGGGTCAGCCCCTCTGGCCCTATGGATATAATGGTTAAAATTTTCACTGGTGGTGAACAAGAATCTCTAACAAGGTCAAAGGAATAACAGGGCATCAGCCATTAGGAAATTAGTTGGGAAATGGTAATTATAAGGAATATGCACTTGGATGACTGCTCTTGGGACATCTATCATTTAGAGAAAGACAAAGAAAAGTTAAGAGTGATTAATTACAAGGTAAAGGTTAAGTGTGAGCCAGAAGAGTTTTTTCATAGTACTGCCGATTGCTTTATTTCTAGAACCATAGAGCAGACAAAATTGAGATGTGGGTCAAGGACATAATTCTAGGAGTAGCAGGACACAGAGGAGATTGAACTCTCCACTTCAATGGGCCCTCTCAGCCAGAGTAGGGCCCTAATGGGGAAATGGAGGACCCTGAGACAGGAGCCCATGGACCAGAGCACTCAACAATCTTCAGTCCCATTTTGGGCTGCTGGGGACAATGGCAGAAACACAGCTATTTAACTGCAACTATGGCCTCTCCAAACCAAAGGAAAACCACAATGGGGAAGGTAAATCTTACACACAACTGGCCTCAGTATTACTTGAAAAGAAAATGTAGAAGTCTCAAAATAACTGTAGGTGAAACAGAAGAATAACCAAATCCTAGTTCAAAGTCTTCCAGGTGGCACCTTCCCACCCTCACTCAGGCACAAGGCACAGGGCAGCTAGCAGAGAGGCTGAGAGCTACTGGGGATGCACCACCACCAATACTGAATCCACACTAACTCTGAAACACTGCACAGTGTCCTGGAGATCAGAGCACAGACCATAGGAGAAGGCTTCAAAGTATGTCTGCACAAAAGGGTCTGCACAGAATCCACATAATCTGCGACTATGCTACCTTTCCTGGCAAAAAGGATCTGGTCATAGTGATTAAGAAGTGAAATGGGGACATGATCCAGGATTTTCCAAGTGGAGTCAATGTACTCACAGATCCTGCAAAGTGAAAAGGGAGGAGATGAGCCAGAGAAGGAGATGTGATGACAGGGCCAGAGCTCAGAGTGCTGTGGGGCCTCAGCAGAGGGTGCAGGCAGCCTGTAGGGCTGCAAAAGGCAAGGACCTGGATTCTCCCCTAGGGCCTCCAGGGGGAGCTCAGTCCTGCCCACCCACTACAGACCTCTGAACTCTAGAGCTCGAGATAATAAACCTGTGTTGTTTAAGGCACTGAATGTGTGGTGATTTGTTATAGCAGCCATAGGAAGCTAATGCAAAGAAGCAGGAATGTTATAAAAGGACAGAGGAAATTGAAGAGACAGGCACAACTTCTGTTGAAAAATGGCAAAAACATAACAGAAACAAAAAGGTTGTTTGGAACTGAGAGTTAACTGGAAACAGAAATAGTGGAGGTAGGAAATTTAGAGTTCTGAAAGGCAAAAAAAACCCCAAAAAACTATGGGGACTCAAAACCATGTTCTCATTACCAAAACCAGCCATCAACTACAAATCTGCATTGATAAATGTGGATTTTGGTATATTGACAGAACAGAGGTTCTTTCATCTAGAAACACTGTAAAACACATCAATGCCATAAACATGACCAAAAAGATATGCATTGTTATGCCACCCCCATTGGCCCAGGACTGCAGTGGCCTGAATCCTCAGATGCTGGTACAGACTGTGACATCCCAGTGCAGAGGGTCATGTTTGTATCTTGCACTTTGCTTCAGCCAGTCAACCCAGACAGCCCAAAAACCATTTCCAGGTTAGTGCTCAGCAGTGTGTGGGGCCAGGCCCAGGGGAAGCACTCAGAAGTAGCGGCCGGCTCTGAGACAGGTGGGAGGTGGAGACTCAAAAGCAAACCCAAGGTGGTGCAGGGAATGTGGCAGAGGCTGATCTCTCCTGCTCTCCTTGTTCAGCACTGCTCTGACCCCTGGAGATAACACCAGGTTCCAGCACAGGAGGACTGGAGACATGGGAGAAAAGGCACACTAGCTTGGGACCTGAGGATGGGAGAAGGAACTCGGCATTCAGGCATTGGAGGTGGCACCATCCTAATACCCCAGGCACAGAATGCAGCCCAGGTGTGGCGTGTAAAAAGTCTAAAATCAACACTCTATATTACTGCCTTCAAAAACAAGAAAAGGGGGTTCAAAATCAACCAAAAGCAAACAGCAGTAAGGAAATTATAAAGAAAACAAATATCAATGAAATTGAAAATAGAGAAACTCACTAAAACAACAAGTGGGATCTGTGAAGAAACCCATACATTGAAAATTTTCTATCAAGACTAATGAAGGAAAAAAAGGAATGACACATTTTCGTATCAGGAATGAAATGGGATAGAATCACCGACCCAGCAAACATCAGCCATGTATGAGGGAATCTCTGAGCAACTCTGTGGGCAGACGGGTGTAATGACTGCTGGTCCACTGTCCCAATCTGGGGAAAATGAGGCCTGTGCTGGGACCACCCATGGTCACTTGGATGACTGTCCTGACTCAAACTCCACGTCCTCAGGGGCTCCCCCTCTGGAATTTCACAGAGCAGCAGGTTCAGGCATTTGCTGGGGGACCTTACTGATGGGGATGGAAAAGTCTCGGTTGGAAAGGGGACCAGGAGGAGGTTGGAAAAGCAAGGAGGAGGGAGGGGCTGAAATGGACAGTGGACAAATGGGCAGTTAGGACAAGGAAGGGAGAGACAGGACACTGTGAACACACCACGTCCGTCCCTCCCTCTTCTTTTAATGTGTATGTCTGTGAACAGATCTATAAAGACATGTACCAAATTCTTACCAGTGGTGACTCTTTTAGTGGGGCATTATGGGAGGGGATTTCCTTCTAAAATTCTACTTTATATCAATAAACTTCAAGGTTTTTCAATAATAAGCACTAATTACTATTTATAACAGTAAAATTAAATGGAGCTGAGTAAGTGGGAGTGGATGCCTCTCCCTGGACTTTACCTTTGTCCTTCTGCTGAGCAGAGACCTCCAGGGTGAGGTTCCTGCTGACAGCCGGCTGCCCATCGTGCTGCACCAGACACGTGAGACCCACGGCCTCCCCGTGGGCAGATGAATTCACCAGGATCCAGCTCCCCCAGGTGAAGGTCCCATCCTTGTTCTCTGTGCGGGTTGAAGGCGTTTCTGTTCGGGACATGTTTCCATTCTCCAACCAGCTCAGCTGAAGGTGCTGGGGGTAGAAGTTCTTCACCTGGCAGATGAAGATGTTCCCCTGTTTCTCTGACACGGTGTGTTGGGTAATGTCCAAGGTGGGTGAAACTGAAACAGCACAGGGCAGAGACTCTGGCCTCAAGGACACACAGATCACAGAGGAAGGCTTTGTAACTTAGCTCCCCCACCACAGCAAGAGGACACCCAAGAGAGTGCTGGGTAAGCAGCAGGTGCTCTGACACTGAGGGTTCACTCTGAATATGAATGATACCGCTAGGCATAGTGCCCTGCACACAGTAGGTGCTCAGGAGTGGAAACTGCTATTAGGGTGATATGAGTGAAATCAAACCAGCACAGCCCTGGAATGCAGTAGGAATGTAATAACTGTAGCAAAATAAGTGAGATCACCAAGCATATAATGGCTTGGTTTATAGTAGGTGCTCAATAATTGGAGTTGCCCTTGGTAAAGTAGATGAAACTACCAAGTACAATGAATTATAGGTGTTCCCCTGGTAACTGCCATTAAACAGTGGTGAATGACAGGCTCATCCAGGTGTCTGGGGATGGGAAGGGTTGTCGGGAATTAGATTCCAGGGAAATTAAGTTGGAGCAAATGTCAGGGGGAGGAGCAGACTTAGAGGGAAGGAGCCAGGTATGGGCTGGGGCTGGGTGTGAGGGACATCTACCTCGGATGGTCTCAGACAGGTTGGCAGTCCCACGAAGAGGAGGGCCCCCCTTCAGGGTGACGTGGTCCACCTGACAGATGACCTGGGAGTGAACATCTCCCCGGGACAGCTGCACCCTGGCTGTGCTGGAGATGTTGTAGGGAGGGCTGTCTCCCTCTAGGTCCACAGTGGTCTGGGAGGCTGGGAGCTCATTCCCGTCTTTGAACCATCTCAGGACGATGTTCCTGGGGGAGAAGCCGTGGGACTTGCAGGTGAAGCTCACTGTCTGCCCAGGTGTGGCCCTCCCCGCAGGAGCTGACACCACAGGGGGAGAGGGTTGGGCTGTAAAAGGAGCACAATGAACAATGAACACGATTGTGACCATCACCACCAGTGACAAGCATGTGACTCTGTAAGGATCCTTCTCGTATATTGTTTTCTATCCTCTAACAATGCTGGGAGGGCGTGTCATTGTCCTCATCCATCAGAGCAGGACACTCAGGTCCCCAGAGGTGAACCCTGAGTGAGGGGCAGGACCCACAGGCAGCTCCAGCCCTGAGTTCAAAGTTCACCTTCCTTCCCCCACAGGTGACCTCCTGTCTGTTTGGGCTTGGGAACAATGGCACTGAGTACTCTCCCTCTTCATATTAACTCCCCTGTCTGGCCTCCCCTGACACCTCCCTGACCTCACAGACAGTGTTCACAGAGTAAATGTGGGGGAAGCCATGAGAGTGGGACCCCATGGAGTGGAACAGGCTGGCAGCGGAGGAGAGGTGTGGCCTGGGCACATCCCAGTCCCGTCTGTGAGAGGGGGCAGCAGGCACTTCTCCTTCCCGGGCTACAGAGAGGGTGAAATCAGGCAACAGAAGTTGTTTTGCTTTGAATAAAACAGAAGATGTTTCACAAAATAAATAAACACAGATCCATCTTGAACCTGGATCTAATTTATATCCAGAACTCTCCCTTCAAGTACTAATAAGTTTACTCCATAATTTTCACTATTTCAACAAATACTTCACTAGGGATGAATCTGTGTCAATCACTCAATTTCAAGGGATGGGCTTGGGACAATTTTCTGATTTTGAGTTATTCTCCTGGATAAGTTTTGGCTTCAAAAGGAGTAGTCAAAGAGAGAGAGTCAAAGGTGGTTAATTTCCCAATGGTCATGAAATGAGAAGAGACGCAGACACAGGCCTGGGAAGCAGGCAGATCCCCGTGTCCTGAAAGGATCCGCACTGATTCCAAGGGTCATTGAATCACAACCAAGAGCAGTCTCTCCCTGTGGAAAGATCCTGCAGGGTACCTTGAAATTGTTAATTATCACCCAACACCTTCTCTAAGAGGGGGTACACATCAAATATGAAAAAGCATTAGCATTTCTAAAGATCTACCTTGCTTCCTAAAACTCATCAAATGTTTTGAGGACATAGATAAGGGGGTGTCACTTGAATAAGTCAAGTCATAAGAACACCAGCAGCCTGGATGTCACTGGGGGGATGGACGCTGGGGTCAGTTACCATGGATAGGGAGCCTCTTGGGCTCCTGATGAGGGGCTGATCCCTTGCTTCCTCAGCTGCTCACCCTCCCACTGCCCTGCAGGCCGGTCCTGGTGGACTCACTCATGGGAGGAGGCTGAGAGCAGAACCTGGCTGACCAAGGGCACATGGGGATCAAAGGGCAGGGCTCATCTCTCTGCACTCAGATTAATTTTAGCATCTCTGTTCTTTGTCCTTGAGCCTCAATGTATGTTTCTGCACAAAGTGGATAGAGACCCCACCCTGGCAGAGGGGTGAGGAGGTATGTAAAACACAGAGACTGGCTTATAGAAGGCACCTAATAAATAACACCTATGACAGTAGCATAATATCTGGTCTTTCTGTTTCTGACACTGCTGATTGTTTTGTAAATTGTGGGAAGGAAAAACAGACAGGTAACAGGAGCACCAAGGAAAGTCTCAAACCCTGCTTTCTGCAGCTGCTGTGCAAACACCCAGATGAAAATAAAAGCAAAGAAACCACCTAATTAAGGTTCTGTCACTTTTATTTTTAATGATCCCCTCAGGAAACAAGTTTGGTGAACTGATTTTCAAAACACACAATAGGTCACAGGCGTTTCACTGCAGATCAGCTCTTCCAGAAGCTAGAAGCGTTTTGAAAAAGGAGTGCAGATTTCAGAACTGAGAAGCTGCTGTGTTGGGCAGGAAGGGCTCTGTTGCTGAGCAGTATTTGTGGGATTTCAGACCCAGTTTAGACACACACAGGGGTTTGAAGATGGGAAGGCATCTGACAGGGTGTCCAGGCTGTGCGTCCTGAGGGCTAGAGACAGCAGGGTCCCACTGTAAGCCCTGCCTGCTCTAAGCGAGGGTGTCCCTGTCCCTCCACTCAGGCTCATTTTCTTGGGCCTCTGATGAGCTGTCTCTGGCACACGAGATTCCAAAGCATCCCCACCACCCAAAAATGTTGTTCTCACATCCCAGCAGCCGGGGAAGACACCTTTGTCAGGGGAAAGAGGATGAGCTTTCCTCTGTGACCCCAGAGAACATCTACCTCGGGGCCTTCTGACTATGGATAGTGAAGAACTTCAGCTGCCAGACCTATGTCTGACAGTTAGATCAGAATTCCCAGGGTGGAACCAGGGTCTGGTGACCTTTGCAACGATTCCTAGGTGATTCCAACGAGCAGAGAAGGGTAAACAGCACAGAACTCCACCTCCAGCCCCATCATAATGAGACTTGGGAAGGAAAGTGTCCTGTTGAAGGCCCTGTCTTTGGCGTGTCATAGCCCACACTCATCACATCTACTACGTGCCAGGCACTGCTCTGATCACTGTGCATGCGTTCACTCACTTAGTCCTCAGAACTGCTCTGTGAGGTCGATGCTGTCCCTGACAGATGAGGACACCAGGCACAGTGTGGGGAGTGATGTGTCAGAGGTCACAGGCCTGGAAGTGGTAGAGCTGGGATCTGGAACCAGGCAGGGGACTGGTCCCATATGCTCACCCCTTGAGCACTGACGCTCAGTAATTCCCTGACCCGCTCACCGGAAGCTTTCCAGACATCCCCTCCTGTCCTCACAGATCCCTGAGTGGGAGCTGGGACTATCACCCCTGCACAGATGGGGACACTGAGGACCCCAGGGACACTGAGACTTGCCCAAGAGCACCCAGTGGTGGGAGGACACCATCGCTCACTGAGGCTCTGCCCTCTCACCAGGCTCACTGTAGCCTCAGTCCTTCCTGCAGAGGGTGGGGAGAGTGTCCATGTCTGCAGGTGAGGACACCAAGGTCTAGCAAGAGAGAGTGGGCCACACCGTGAAATAACACCAGATTTGGGGAGCAACTCTGTGCTGGGAGATTCAGACAGAGCACCTCAAATCCTTCCCCTCTGCAGAGGAGTCCATGATTATCACCATCTTACAGGGGAGCAAAGGGAGGCTGAGAGAAATGGAGGGGCTTCTCCTCACCCAGTACTAGGTTCTGGGGTGTTTGCTGTGGCCCCAGTTCATGTCCATCCACACAGGTCCCAACATTGGCTGCCTCCTGCTCTTTACTCTGTGAGAATTTTGACTTTAAGGAATAGTGTGGAGGAGTCAACTCCAAGTGACCAGGACTTGAGACCCTCTCGCAATAAACAAAAGACATGGCCTCCTGAAAAATGAGTCTAGAATACGAACCCAGCTCATTCAGGGCCCCAACCAGCCCCTAGAAAATGGCTTCCCCACCTTATTCTGAGTCTGCGTGTCCGGGATTATTATTCAAGGTGTTTCTGGGGGTGCTGTGACCCCTCTCTGCTCTGTCAAGGCCACTGTCCCCAGGCTGCTCCTGCAGGTGCTCAGTGAAGGATGAAGAGCACAACAGAGGGGGAACAGCCTCCTGAATGCTTCTATGTGCTGAGTCATGTTACTAGGAGCAGGGTCAGCACATGGTGAGACTTCTGCATACCTGTCTGATCTGGGTTGTAAAGTTGCCCCATCAGTCCATCAGAACCTGATATAAAGTGCTTTTGCTGAAGACAAAACAATTGAAGTTTTGAAGGACAAGTTTTGAGCTTTTTGCACTCTTTGACAAGCACAGTGGGGTGTGGCAAAAACCAGGGGCTGTTAGTAGGGCTGTTTGGAGGTCAATATAAGCTTCCCTACCTTCTCACAATTCAGGTCCCCTCTCTGAGCCTTAGTGTCTTCATCAGTCAACAATAGCCCCTGTCACAGCACCGGTTATAAGAGTAAATGTCATGAGGAAGATAAGGCATCTAGATCGCTGCTGCTCCCGTCCCCTCCCGCCTCCCTGCCTTCTCATCCAGGGCATCCTCTGGGCAGGCAGCTTGGAGAGAAGGAACCAGGACTTTACCAGGGGCCGCAGATCTGAGATGGAGGCACACAATGTCTGTGATTGCCTAGGCAAGGGACACATTATTAGGAACTACTGTAATATCAGAAAATTCGGGATAAAGCCACCTTCCCTGCCAATGTTCAAGGGTTGTGGGAGACTCCATTGTTACCACACCAAGGAGGTAAATTGGCAATATCCACACAAATTAAAATCACATACTCTGTGACCTAGCAACGGTCACAGCATCTCCCTCTTGAGCAAGTGACACATGGACAAGGTTCTCCCCTGCATCACTGTTCTAATAGTCAGAGGTTGGGAACAACTTATATCCATCAACAGATGGTCAATGAACAATGCTGTCTCCATATGCTGGAGGGTGAGGCAGCAGTTGAAGAAGGGGCAGCTCTAGGTGCTGATGTGGATGCTTGATTTTGGGGGATTAGGCTGAAGGATCCAGTGGATTTCAATGACCTTGGACTTCAGGGTCTGAATGTGAGGGGTACCTGAACCTTTGAGAAAACAATGAAAGGAATATTAGGGCTCTTTGTTCAATGGTTTGGTGTAATAACCTTTTAATCAGCACCTACTGTGTGCCAAGTCTTTCATGGAAAGAGGGTCTTACAACAGGACAAGAAGGAATGTTCCTTGGACTCAGATAGGGTTCTGGGATGATGCCTTCACTCACTGGCCATGTGACCAAGGGCAAAACTACTGTCACCTGTTGGTCCCATGCTCTCTTTTTGCATGGGGCATCAGGCAGGGTGGTCTAACAGTGCTTTGTGTTCAGACATCCTAGGATTCAGGATCCTGGGTCTCTGGCAGAAAACTCTAAGTGAACATTTTCGCTGTCTTAATGGGGTGACCCTGAAGGCACCCACACTTGCAACCCTCTCCCAGAATTCAGGACATCTGAGAAAACTCTGCTCAGAGCCTGAGTGGCAGCGTGACTGGGTCCCTGAAATAAAGGGGGTTTACCAGACAGACCCACAGTGAGTGCCCAACCTCTGGCACCTCCTCCCAGCAGGGCTGGCAGAGCAGACAGGGAGGCTGTGACCATTAGGAATGTCTTCTCCTGTGATGCTTCTGAGGAGGAAATAAAGAAACATGTCCCCCTCCCTGCCCTGCATGGATCTCTCCCAACTGCAGGGAGGAGAAGGAAGCTTCATGGGAGAAGAGCTCTAACTGCTCAGTCCCCTACTGCTCCCACAGCACCCGGGGCAGAGCCCCGCTCCCAGTGGGTGTCAGTGAGTTTCAGTGAGGGGGGCTCAGCCACACTGAGGGGAGCGCTCCCTGGAGGCAGGGGTGAGGTCTGACCTTGTGATGGGCGAGTCCCTCAGACCCTCATTTCCCTCATCCCTGGACAAGGGGCTGGATGAGATTGGAAAAGGCAAGGGCAGGGGGTGGGGATCAAGCAAATGAGGGCTCCAGACTTTTCCCACCATTTACCAGCCATGGGGCCTGAGAAGATAGCAGGATCTCCAGGCCTCAACTTTCCTGACCTGCAGGAGGGGTGACATCAGACCAGCAATCAGATCCTGAGTATAAGCGCCCATGATGACACCTGATTCCTAGTTCCTGCTCAAAGAATGGAGGTCTTTCTTATCGACTTGTTGTCACACAGCAGGAATGAAGGGCCCCACACTGTACTCACCACTCACGGTGAGCCGAGTGCCTGCTCCAGACTTGAGCTCCGTGTAGATAGGCCCTGTTCTGCGGAACTTCACACAGTAGTAGGTGCCAGTGTCTGCTGGGGTGATATCACTGATGCGGATGGAAAAGTCCGTGTTGTTTATCCTTGTGGTGTCTGCAGCACTTGTTACTTGGGGGGTATGGCCTCCTTGTTGACTGTAGATTAACTCCCGGCCTGGCCCTGTCCCTCTGAACCACATGACGGGCCCCACAGGGAGAACAGAGGTCACGGTGCAGTTCAGAGTGGCCGTCTCTCCAGCTGCCACTGCCACTGACTTCTCAGGCTGAATCACCCACAGCTCCTCACCTGCCCCTCCTGGAGGGAAACACAGAGAAGTTATTTATTAATTCATGTGTGATCCTGTGGGTTTTGTCAAGTGTTTTTCAATAACAGCTTTCAATGATGGAGTGCTCACCCTGAGTGGACCTGAGCTAAGCACATTGCATGTGTCATATGTGTGACCCTCAAAACAAGCCTATAATGTAAAATCATACTACAAATTAGGAAATTGAGGCACCTAGAGGTAAAGTGATGAGGCAAAGATTGGGTTTACATCTTTCCCCGCCAAGTGGTTCTGCTTGGTGCCTGAATTGGTGGGTGTGTGCTGGGCCTTTCCCTGTGACACTGGGTTGCCCAGCTAAGCTGCACAGCTGCTGGCCGAGTGACTCATCCAGCCTGAGGAGAAGGAGAGTGTCTGTCAGTCTATCTGTGCCTGAGACACTAAGGCAGCCATGACTGATCTTGTAATGATGGCGAAACTAGTTGCTAAAGACTCAGTGAATTTTTACCCCAACTTTACCTCAACTTCAACATCTCTCTTGAAAGGGACTGTGCTGCTGAACATGAGCTTCAGGTAGGAACTGATGATGTAAAGAGCAGAAGTTTTCTAGGTGATGGTTCAATTTCAGAATTCCTTCAGATTATGAAAAAGTTTACACACAAAGAATAAGAAACAATGAGAAGCTTTAAGGATGAGTGCACTTGGCTGGGAATGTTTTAAAGGAATTTGGCCCTGAAAGAAAACCTTATAGTTGGGTTGTTTGTCTTCCTGGAGCGGAGTTGTGTGAGTTCCTTATGTATTTTGGAGATTAAACACTTGTCTGAGGATCATTGACAAATATGTTTTCCCATATGGCTGGTTCCCTTTCATTTTACTGCTGTTTTCTTTAGCCGAGCAGTAGCTTTTATTTTGAAGAACACTCTTTGTTTATTCTTTCCTTTATGTCCCTTGCTCTAGGGGACATATCAATGAAAATATTGCTGTGTGACCACAACAGCATGGATGGAACCGGTGACTATTATACTAAGTGAAGTAAGCCAGGCAGTGAAAGACAAAAACCATGTGACCTCACCTATAAGTGGAACCTAATCAACAAAACAAACAAGCAAGCAAAATATAAGCAGAGACATTGAAATAAAGAACAAATTGACAGTAGCCAGAGGGGAGGGGGCAGAGGGATGAAATGGAGAAAACGAGGGAAGGGCATCAAGGAGCAAGTATAAAGGACACACGGACAAAGCCAAAGTGGGGTCAGAGTGAGGGTGGGAGGTAGGGATGGGTGGAGCAGGGTGTGGTGTGGTGGGATGAAAATGGAGACAGTTGTACTTGAACAACAATAAAAAGAAAAAGAAAAATGAAAAAAAAGAGAGACCCTCATAAAAATCATAGGTACTTGGACTAGGATTTGAACTGCAATGGCTTGTGTGTGCTATGTCCCCATTAACCCTGGATGCAGGCCAGGCTCATAAAGAAGCCCAGTGGTTCTGGAGGGAGAAGAAGAAAAGGAATGGAGGTTTGAAGAACGTAGAATGATGAGGACCATTTGTTGCAGTGACTCTTAGGAAACCCAAAAGATCCTTACTGTCAATGATTATAGCACCTGCTGTTCCCTGATGATCCTTCATTTTGGTCTGTTTTTGCCTCACAGAAGAAATTTTGATATGAAATGGTACAAAGTGATCATATGATAACAAAGAGGAATGAAACCTGTTTTGTATTATTCTGTAGTCGATAAAAAATGAATGCCTGATGCTATCAAATTTTATTTCACAAGACAGTTTGAAAAAGAAAAACACAACTTTTCCTATTAAAGAAGTGTACTCCCAGTCTTCACCAGTGTTGCTCAGTTGGTTGGAGCATCAGCCCATAGCCCAAGGGTCATGGGTTCAATTCCTAGTCAGGGCACAAGCCTAGGTTGTAGGTTTGATCCCTGGTACCTGTGTGGGTGTCAGCGACCCCCATCTGAATGCATCTGATCCCTCACCCGTCTTGGCACAGATACAGGGTCTTGGCACATAGAGAGGCAACTAATTGATGCTTCTCTTGCATAGAAGTTTCTCTCCCTTCCTCTCTTCCTTCTTCTCTCCCTTCCTCTCTCTCTCTCTAAAAGACCAAATTAAAAAAATGTCCTCAGGTGAGGATTAAAAAAAATACTCCCAGTTCAACATAGCTTAGTAGAAGACATGTTTACCTTTTCCTCCTCTCCAAATCGCTTTGAACTCACAGAAGAAGTAGCAAAGGGTGGCTGAATCAGTGATACAGGACACCCCATTTTACTGCACTTGGCTTTCCTGGGCTTCACTTACTGCACTTCATAGGTGCTGTGTGTTTTACAAATGAAAGGCAAGAAGACCATGCCCGGCAGAAACACAACTTGCTCTGTTTCGGAGGTCTAAACTGTACCCACAGTATCTCTGAGGCAGCCTGCACATGCTTGTTGCAGAAAAAAAAAAACCCACAAAATATAATTGCAATAAAGAAACATTTAAATTTGTCTTTAAGGCAAACTATATCAGAGATAACTATTTCTAAAACCTTTTTCTTGACAAATGAATTCATATTAGTGTACTCGAGTGTTTAATGCAAAATGGTAACATGATTGTATAAGTTTTTTATCTTAACTGCACATCTACTGTTCAGAAATACCTCTATGGCATAACTTCCACTGGCTCTAAATGTTCCATTTCATGGCTAATATCAGTTAATGCTTTTGACCAGAAGTAAGGCTCCAAAATAATTGACTTAAATAGCCAAGCACATTTATTATCTCACACAACACACAGCTCAGATGTGTCATTAAATAAACTTTTTTTTCCTCAGCCTCAGTTTATTTTGCCTTAGGCTTGTCTCATGGTCCTGATGGTATAATTTCTATCCAAATAATGTTATTTGAAGAAATAAAAAGCCTATTTAGAAGTTCATAGATAATTTTAAGGAGTCTCAAATAATGAAGCAATCTTGAAAAAAGAATGTCCTACCTCCTGATTTAAAAACTTACTACAAAAACTAAAGTAATCAGTGCTGTCCTGTCATTAGAGTAGATGGAGAGACCCATTGAATAGAATAGGGAGCCTAGAAATAAGACCTCATGTACATGGTCAAATAATCATCAACGAGGATGCCGATGACATTTAATGGGGAAAAGTCATGTTTCAACAAATGGTGGTGGGAAACTGGATATCTACATGCAAAAGAATGGAGCTCAATTTTATCTTATTTAAAAAAATAAACAATATGAATAAAAACCCTAAATACCAGAGCTAAAACTTGAATATTCTTAGAAAGAAAGCCATAGGTGAATCTCTTTGTGACTTTGGATTTGGCAATGGTTTCTTGGATGTGACACTAAAACCACAGGCAATGAAGAAAAAAAGCAAAGTCCCTCAGAGGAGGTGGCAGCTGTGGCACCATCGATAAACCCTGTGTTCTCTGTTTCTCAGCTTCTCCTCAGGGAGAAAATCTGTGGGTCACCTTTGCAGAGTGTGAGCTGGTGAAACCCTCCCACTTAGCACTGTGTGTGACCACACAGCCCCCAAGGAGGCCATGTGCTGTCACAGGGCAGGTTCTTTCATGTCAAGAACAGGAGACTGACTGAATTTGAGGTCAGGAGAAGAAGGATGGGGACAGGGAAGCTGAACAGCTGAGACTAAAATGGGAAGAACAGGAACAAATTTTGGAGGGGGAAGTGGAGGGAACAGAGGAGGAAGAGAGAAGAGACATCAGAGGGTGGAGAGGAGCTGGGAATGACAAACTCTGAGTCTGTGCTTCTGTAAATCTCTCATCTGCATCCGTGACCCAGGCCTTTCCCTGAACTCTGGGCTGTATGTCCAACTGCCCACACTATGTGTTTCTTCTATGGAAACCAACACCTCACAGTTAACATGTCCAAAGTGAACTCCTGAGTTTCCCCCACAGCTCTCTCCGTCTCACCTGAGCCACCTTCATTCTTCCAGATGCTCAGGTAACCAACACATGGAGTCTTGCTCTCCCTGTTCCTGAATCCTGTGCATCAGAAACGCTGTAGCTCCACTTCTGCATGCACCCAAGTCTCCAACTTCCCCCTGACTCTATTGGCTCCTCTCCTGGTACAAGTCATTTATTTGCATAACTGCTCTGTTACTTCTCTCTGTCTCCTCTTGGAGTCTATTCTCAGCCAAGTGCTATGATAATTCAAAACTTATGTCAGATTAGATCACTTCTTTCTTTAAAACCTTGCACAAAGCAGGAAGATTCTACTCTCATGGCCTTTGCATGTGCTGTCCCCTGACGGGAAGGCTCTTTCCTGAGATGACACCGTGGCTCACTCCCGACCTTCTGTTAATCTGGCTCAGCCCTCATTTTCTCAAGGATGCTCACCCAGACTACATGGTTTAAAGTTCATAGCACCTTAGAGATTCCCCCAATTCTCCTATTTAACAATACTTTAATTTCCCCTAAATCTTATTTTCTAATATTCCATATTATCTATTTTTATTCTGTCTATTGTTTACTGTCATTATCCCACTGGGATACAAGCCCCATGAGGGCAGCTACTTTGTCTCTTTTATTCACCAGCACATCCCGAGTTCCCATAGTGTTCCTGGTACATCGTACAAATCCAATAAATATTTGAATTATGTGTGGGAATTGCCCAGTCAGACTCCTCCTGGAAATCTTGAAGCCTATTTTAAGTCAGCAAATCAATAGCATTTATGTCAGAAACTGAGTTTCCCACCTAGATGATGTGGTGAAAAACAAAAGCATCTGGTGCATGTGCAGGAAGAGGAGTAACCCAGGAGAGAGAACCACAAACCTCTCCCCCAGCACCCACCCCTCCCCACACCCACTGGTCCAATGGAACACATCTCATGGGATGGATGTGGCATAACAGGGACACTCATGAGCTCTAGGATGAGACTGTTTGGGTTCAAATAATACATAAATCACCTACTGTTGAGTGACCTTAAGCCCCTCTGTGCTTCTCTGTTCTCTTCTATAGGTACAGGTGACAAGAGGACCTGCCTTGGATATAATGACCACGAGAGAGAGCACACGCAGGAATTTCCAACATATCTGCACGTGGTTAGTTTTTGAGCAATTAAAAGTGTGTTACTCATTATACTTCCTAGAGCTCTGATGCTTCACCTGACATTAGAGGATGTAGATGTAGATATGGATATCAATATAGGTAGATACATTGATATTGATATAGATATAACTATAGATGCAGACCATACAGGGAAGCATCTCTGTATCTCTTATCCACTTCTTTCTGCTTCACTCCCGTCCCTTAAAAAAGAAGGAATCCAATATAATAATGCACACTTGTACTCATTTTACCAAGAGAGAAGTTTGCTTGTCTTAAGAATTCAGGGAAAGTAAAGGATAAGTTTACGGAAGTAGAAAGGAAGGAGGCAACCAAACATCTGGTCATGTGCATTTCCTGTAGACTGACAAGGGTTTGAATTAAACAGCAAGAAAAGACTTTTCAGAAATCTCATGTGTCTTTGTGCACGCACTTACACCAACTGTACACACAAACACACACGGGTACACATGTCACAAATATATATACAAGTGTGGCCTTGCATTCCATCACAGGTTGTTTTGAAGATTAAATGAAATGATTATACATATTAAATGCTGAGAAACATACTTGGCACCTAGGCACCATGCCACCACACACCACTAACAAAAGTTCCTGAGTAAACAGCAGAATTTGAACTCTGAGTTTCCGAATGACCTGATGGGAGATGACTGTTCTTCCTCTTTGCTCTCTGTGTTTTCTGATTTCTCTGAAATCAGCCTCCACTGAGAAGCTCAGCAGCACCACATGGTTAAAAGAGCTCTGCAGCTGTTGTGCCTGGACTTGAACCCAGCTGAACCACTGCCTCACGTAGGTGACGTTGCAAAGTAACTCTCTCTGCCTCAGTTTCCTCATCTGCAAATCAGGGATAAAAGTCATAGTTCTCACACAGCCATATTGTGAGGATTAGAGGATTTCATACCCACCAAGCTGTCACAATTGAGGTTTAAAGCAGCATCTGCTTTGATGCCGCTAGAAAACTGATGCAGTCAATGGACCCACAGAGGAAAAGCCCAGATCCCAGATTTCATGATCTCAGATCATGTCCTGTCCTTGGCCTTCTGGGTGATGCACCCTGTTATCCTGGGTGCATCAGGGTGCATCCCTGTTATCCTGAAGGCCCTAAAATTTCTGAAGGTCAGGAAGAGGTCCAGGGACAGAGAGAAGAAATTCTACCCCAAGGCATGCTCACCTGTGAGGCCCAGCAGCAGAGTCAGCAGCAGGCAGGGAGGAGGGCGGGGCCAGGAGGCAGGGACCAGCATCCTGGAGGCCTGAAGAGCCTGCTCTGTCCTGATGTGTGCTGGGAGAGCCCAGACTGTGCTCTGTGGGAGGAGAGCGGCCCCACATCACAGGATATAAGAGGAAGTGCCCAGGATGGGGTGCAATGGCTGTGAGACAGTAGCCCACTTCCAGATTCGAGGCTGTTTCTATTTCCAGATTGTGAAATAGAATGAGGAAGAGAAGGCATATACAGGGTGAGGAGTTACCCATCTTAGTAGTCAGAGAGACTTGGACAGGCCTACAGGAAATAGTGCTTCCTCCTTCCTGGGGCCTCTGCTCCCCACTGGGCCCCTCGCCCCATCTGTGATCTTCACAGTGATGCCCCACTTCGGGCCCAGGACAGGAAGTGTCTGTGGTTGTGGACTGTGTCCCAAACTCCCAAGCCATGAACCTTAAGATGTATGGCTCTTGGCCACATCTGCATCAGCCTCACTAGGAGCTACACTGATGGAGGGAGGAAGAGGGTTCACCAGAGTCTGGCAAATGTTGGGAGTGAAGCAGGTCTGGTCCTGAATGACTCCCTGTACCTAACCTTTATTGATGGGACTGGTAAAACGTAGCCCAATGTACAGTGTTCTAGACCTCAGAAATTGTACGTGCTTCCATCCAACTAAAGATATAATATCCTGACTTCTTTCAAAAGAAGAGGGGATTATGAAACCCAGTGTTTGATTCTCAGGCATTTATCTCAGTGATGAAATTTATGTTACAACCAAAACCTGTGTGCTAGTGTTTATAGCAGCTTTCTCTGTAATAACAGCAAAAAATCACAAAGGTCCAATAATAAGTGAACAGTTAATCGAACTCTAATACCTTGTAATGTCTCCATACAAGGACATGCAACAACTTGTAAGTTTCTCAAAGGCGTTATTTTGGGTAAATAAAGTAAATCTCAAAGTCTCACACCCTATATGATTCCACCTATAGCGTATTCTCAAAACTATGAAATGGAGACAAGATGGGCATTTGAGGGATTTGGTGAGGTGGAGATGGGGTCACTGCAAAGGTGAGCACAGGGACTTCTGTGGTCGTGGAATTGCTCTGCATCCTGGTCATGGCAGTGGTGACACAAACATACGCCTGAGGGACCAACATAGCACAGCTCAAAATGTTACAAGACATAGTCATTGTAATGAAGACATGGACTACTAGTTATCAATGTCATTAGATTATTAAATTGTATTGCAATGATATTGGGGTGATGAGAGTAGAAAGTGTGTGTGTGCAGCATGAGGTCAGGAGTAAGACTTATGTCCCATCTTCCTTAGCAGGATGTCCACACAGAAATCCTGAGGGTCAGAGATCAGGAAGTGCAATAGAAGTTCGCTGTATGCGTTGTGACAGTAAACTCTAAAATAATCAGTTCACAGACTTGAGAATGGTTGCTTCTTGGAAGTAGGAAACAGTGGGTGGCTGGGGATACTCCAGTTTTCACATGTAGAACTTGTAGAACTCTTTGATTCTTTAAACACGTGCACATGTAACTGTCATAAAGGTTGAAACTAATTATAGATTATTATTGTCTAAAGTGTTGCAAATAAAAAGTGTACATACTGTTAGCACTAGTTAGGTTTTCATAAGCTTGGCAGATAGAGAGTAATGATTGAAATCAATTACCATCCTAAACAGTAGTCAAAAAAACACTGAAAATAGTAATTATTACTCTTAAAGATTTCATGAAATAGAAAGTGTTATATGTAGCTCTAAATTAGAGATGTATAAGGCCATTAATGGGAAAAACCATGTAAAATTGTGAATTGAAAGTTATAAGTGTAAAGCTATGTAGATGTACATCCTACAACAGAAAACTATAGAGCACGGAAAATTAATAAAGTGCAGCTAAATATGTCAACATTATGAAAACTCACAAAACTGTGTTAAGCACAAAAATAAAGCTATGGAATGTTGTATACAGTAGAATAGCACTTAAATAAAATCTAAAACAAGCAAAATAATATTAAATATTTCTTAAATATTTACACATATAATATAAAAGCATAAAATCATACTTGAGAATAATAACACCAAACTGAGAACAGGTTTTTCAAAATGAACACAAATCATAAGGCTAAATGTAACCATTTTGCAAAGATAGGGTGGTGGGTCCATGTTTTTTTTACATTATTCCTTACATAGTTCAGAATACCAGAGTGCTTAATCTGCTGAGTGATTCCAAGTGTCTGTGTGGTACAATGACATCATACTTGTAAAATCTCTGGATAAAGTAAAATCTTCTCTGAATATTAAAGGTTGTTTAACATTTAGAAAGAATGGAAACCTGTAGCCTTGCTCTGAGTGGGCCTCTTTTGGGTGGAGGCAGGTCCAGTTTAAAGCTCAGTGCATCTAGGTCCAGACATCTCGGAGTTGCCATGACCAAAGTCCATCCTTGACTCATCTTCATTATCAGAGAGCAGAACCATCAGGAAGGTGTGTGGGGGAGCATGTTCCTGGCTCAGGTGGGGCTGGTAGAGTGAAGGCCTGGGCCTTGGGTTACCTGCAGGTCCTTGCAGCTTCTCTCCAATGGAGCTCCTTGGAGAAGGCAGGAGACAATGTATCATAGGGCATGGAAAGATGGAGAGAAACTCATTCATTCATTCATTCACTTCTTTTAATTTCACAAATATTTACTGAGCACATGCCAAGTGGCAAGCACTCTGGTCTGGGTTGGTGGCACAGATCAGAAATCAAGCCCCTACTCACCTCACCCAAACCCCTCCTCCGAGTTTTGCTCCCCCCTTCATACTCACATTCATCTTCAACACTGGGAAGCACCCCCAAGTCTCTCAGGTTATATTCATTAATTTTGGTTGTACTTTTCTATTCATACAAAAGACATATTAAATGAAACTGAAATATATAAGAGTTTATGGAGGACTCTCTTCAGTTTGGGTCACAAAGCTTTGGTTTTCATCCCACCTCCACACTTCAGACCACCATCACCAGGGTCCCGGGCACTTAATTGAAAACATTCAAACTCTAGGACATAACACAATGTGGAAGAGCTGGAAGCCTCTGAGATTCCAAAGATATTTAGGGAAAACAAAAGCTTTCACAATCTTCTCTTGAGGCTGAATCAATCTTGTGGAGACCATGTGACTATGCAGCCACACCCTGGACTTCTCCTGCCAGCCCATGAGGTTTGCCCTGACCTTCCTCTCTAAGGACCAACGCCTGCCTCCAACTCACCTGTTACAGTCTCCACCACCTGTGGATGTAGGTGACTGTGAAGCTCATTACCAGCAGCACCTTGAGGCCCAGTAGGAGGAACACCACAAAAATAATGGCAGATGTCTGTGGACCTGAACACCAATGGGCAGAAGGAGACATCAAATGGAGCTCTGTGAGTTTAAATACCTCGCAGCACTCAGGAGACAGAGGTGACCCAGCTGCTCACAGGAGTGGAGATGAGTGAGCTTCTATGCACTCCCAATAGGCTCTATGTGGTGTGGCTGCTGGGGACAGTATGAGTTGACTGAGTGCAAGGATGTGTTTCATGCTGCACCATACAGGTGAGCAGTGGCTCAGACACTTGGAATGACATTCACCCACTGTAAGCTTTCCAGGGGATAGGTCCCATTATTTTACTCCACAGACACAAATTACTCAGCTTGTTTGAACATATGACAGTTCTGTAGCCAGGTGGGATGCATCCTCTGTAGATAGAATCTCTGTACCAGACAGGTAATAGCCACCACAGTTAAGGTGGGTGAAAACTGGGACACTGACAGTGCACAGGGGACTGACACAGCCCAGAGAAATCCAACAATTACCATAGAAAAGTCCACTGTGGGAGACTGGGAGCTCTTTAAGTATGGGGTCATCTGCCAGGGACTGGTACAGAGGATGGTGTAGGCATTAGTTTACATATGCATGCCTAAGTAAAGCATGGCTGAATGAGAGTGTGAATGCAAGAGTGAATGTGTGCTTGGATGGATGGATGGGAGGAGAATGAATGGAAATCTGAATGGGATCAAAGACATCCTACTCTTTTCTTTTTTTTCTAATTTGGAATTGGGTCACAGGCATGAATCTTGGGGACATTGTGCTAAATGAAATAGGCTAGTTACCAAATGGCAAATACTGCATGGTTCTATATATATATCAAAAGGTGTTATACATGGGGAGACTCTCCTAGAGACTCCAGAATGAGCACAGCCCTGCCCACCCATTGCAGAGTTTTGTCCTCTAGAACTGCAAAATAACAAATTTCTCTTGTCACAAATTTAGTGTTAAGCCACTAAACACGTGGTCATAGTGCCAGCAAGTATGTAATCCAGGGAGTCAGGAACATTTAAATAGGACAGATGTAATTAAAGGGCCAGGCACAATTAAAGTTCATAACTTGTGCTTTGGTGAAGATGGTGGAATATGTAAATATTGAATATGCACCATCCCAAGATTACAACTAAACTACAGAACAACCATCTTATAGAAACAGCTGAATTCTAGCTGAACAGAAGATCTATATACAGGAGAAGCCACATTTAAACTTGTAGGAGGGACAGAGACATGGAATGGGCTGGTCACACACCCGCATGTGGTGGTTAAAAATATCAGGAGGGATTACCTGCTGTGGAGTCACTCCTGAGGAACAAGGGCCTCAGAACCACACCAGGCCCCCAATCCAGAATTCCAGTGTCAGAGAGAAGTCCTCAATACTTCTTGCTGTTAAACCAGCAAGGTTATGGCTGAGCAGAAAGAGGGCTGTTGGAGTCCCAGGTATTCCTTTTTTAAAAAAATATTTAAATATTATTTCGTTGTTTATTATTGAATTTATTGGGCTGCCAGTAACAGAAAGACAAATACCTCATGATTTCATTTGCATGTCAAATCTAACGAACTAAATAAACTAACAAACTGAATTGTCTGGTGATATGGAGAGGGCTGGAAAGGCGCATTTCCCCAGACAGAAGTGCTAACAGGAGCCATTGTTCCTTTGCTGAGCCCAACCATGAGGGCACAATGGGGCCCATAGCTGAGTCCTCATCATTCTGGGTAACACTGTTAGCTCTACACATCTGATTCCC